AAGACTGCTTTCGGGGCTGGGGAGATAGCTCAGTAGAATAAGTGCTTTCCTGACAAGCACAAAGGCCTGAGTTCAATCCCCGGTTAAAAAAAAAAAAAAAAGACTGCTTTCATGGCATCCCACAGGTTCTGGTAATTTGTATCTGTAATTTTGTTTGATTGTAAATATTGTTTAATTTCTTCTTTAATTTCATCTGTGATCCATTAATTTTTCAGAATGGTGTTATTTAATTTCATGTACTTACGGAGTTTTTCTGATTTCTTTTGTTAGTAATTTCTAGTTTCATTGCACTATGAAGTAACATATGTGGGATAATTTCAGTTCCTTTGCTTTTATTTAAATGGTCTATGTACTAGTATATGGTCTATTTTGGAGCACATCCCATGTGCAGCTGAAAAGAATGTGTATTCTGATGTTGGGTAGAACACTATAAAGTTCTACCAAGTCAATTTCTTCACAAGTTTGGTTTAATTCTGTTATTTCTTTGCTAATTTTTTTTTTTTTTTTTTTTTTTTTTTTTGTGGAACCGGGGATTGAACTCAGACCCTTGTGCTTGCCAGGGAAGCACTTATTCCTCTGAGCCATCTCCCCGGCTTCTCTTTGCTAAATTTTTATGTAATTGATCTATCACTTTGTGACAGTGGGATGTTGAAGTCCCCTGTTAAAGCTGTGTCATTGCTAATTTTTTTTTAATGTATTTGGTACAGGGTCTCACTGTGCAGCTCAGACTCATAGTGATCCTCCTGTTTTCAGCCTCCCTCGTGCTGGATTTGCAGGCATGTGCCGCCATGTCCAGCCTCGGTTGCTGGCTCAGTGTGCCCAGGTGTGGGGCTGGTGCTGCATATGGTACCAGGGACTGAACCCTGGACCCTGTGCTTGGCTAAGCAGGTGCTTTGTACACTGAGCTATCTCATTGGCCCTTTTTTAAAGTTGATTTTTCATTTCTGTTGAAATTTGACTTATATAGTTGAGTGGTCTTACATCGATGCATATAAATTTATGATTATTATCTCTGACAGTTTTCCTCTAATAAGTATGTAGTGACCTTTATGTCTTTTAATCATGCTTGTTTTGAAGTTGATATTATCAGCAATGAGAATAGTGACCCCTGCTTTTTTCTTGGTTCCTGCTGCATAGAGTATTGTTTTCCATCCTTTAACTTTCAGTCTATGTATTTAGAGTTAAATGTGTTTCTTGTCTACAGCATATTATTGGATTTTGTTTGTTGATCCACTGTGCCAGTCTGCTTCTATTGATTGGTGAATTAAGGCCATTTACATAGATGATTATAATTGATATGTACTGGCTTATGTTTGTCATGTTACTTTCCTGCTGTAGGTTCCCCACTTTTCCAATTTGTTTGCTCTGCTCATTGGTTCTTTTCTGTTACTGTTCTTGAAGTTGTGGTTGTTTTTGTCTCTTTCTAGAATATCTGTAAGTACTCTTTGTAGGGTTGGTTTGGTGGTCACAAATTTCTTCAGTTCTTTGTCATGGAAGGATCTTATCTCTCTTAAATTTGATAGTTTTTCCAGATACATCAACATGAGTTGGAAGTTGTTTTCTTTCAAGACCTGAAATACTTCATTCCAGGCTCTTCTTGACTTGATGGTTTTGTTGAAAATTCTGTGATGATTCTAATGGGCTTTCCATTATACGTGATCTGTTTCTTTTCTCTACCAGCTTTCAAAATATGTAAGTTAGGGGCCAGGGAGTTAGCTCAGTAGAATAAGTGCTTGCCAGGCCAAGCTCAGGGTCCTGAGTTCAATCCCCAGTACCACAAAAAAAAAAAAAATTAATTTTTTAAAAATTTCTCTACTGGCTTCCAATATTCTGTTCTTTTCCTAAATTTCTTTCTTTCTTCTTCTTCTTCTTCTTCTTCTTCTTCTTCTTCTTCTTCTTCTTCTTCTTCTTCTTCTTCTTCTTCTTCCTTCTTCCTTCTTCCTTCTTCCTTCTTCTTTCTTCCTTCCAATATTCTGTTCTTTTCCTAAATTTCTTTCTTCTTCTTCTTCTTCTTCTTCTTCTTCTTCTTCTTC